TATACAAATTACTCAAAGAAAGTATGTTGGTTGTTTTGGGGCTTCCCACCCTCCAAAAATAGATTTTTATGGAATACCCTTAGTGCCATGTTTTTTGGGTTTTGATATGACAAATTATAAAATTTTTGAACTGCAAACATTGAAACTTCCTAAAATGAATCCCTTAAAGACTTAATGTTTTGGTTGGATTAGACAGATGTTTTGTTTTCAAAGGTTAATTAAGCATAAAATATTCAATTGATCTCTAGGTAAGGGTTCAGTTCATAAACATTTCAGATTTATCCATAAAAAAAATTGGTATAAAACTTGTTTTTTGAATAACTGCAAATATACTTACGTGTTTCACTACACATTAAAATAACTTAGTTGTAAAGTGAATTAATTTTATTCAAAGAATTCTGGTGTTGTATATATGTGATAGATGTTGCGTTAAATGATCTCATGTATTATGTTTTATACATTTATAAATACTTGAAAATCACGTTATTAGAAATTCATACAAAATGTCATTTTACAAGTGAAACATATAATTGTTTATATAGTAGTTATGTTAGAAATCGTGTTAAATTTCGGTGCTTCACATTATATTTTGGGAAATTGATTTTTTGACAAATTAACTTTGAGTAACTAGAATAAACAAAATAGATTGGTTGGTCGGTTGACTTGAAGAGACCCTACACATCATTTGTGATTGTAGAAAGAAAATATATTTAATATATGAGCTGCATCGGATAGAAATCGACCTTATGCAAATGAATATCAATACATCTGTAAACCTATTTTGGATGAAAAAAACTACGAAAAGTCTGTTGGAGTTGATGTAAGAACCCAACAAACAGACAAAAATTCATCTTTTATTTCGTATTTGAATGTTCCAAAATAAATCAAAGTCTTATACATGTATATGTATACATGCACTTGCATAAGGTCGGTTTCTATTTGTCACAGCTAATATCTTGTATGCAAGATTTTCAGTCTCAACTTGTTATTAAATGTGTTATTGGTTTTTAAACACTACTTAATTTGAAATTTACAAATAATGCAAATTTAAGATTTGAAATTCTATAGATAGCAATGTGAAGTCCTGTTAAATAAGCAATTTAGTGTTTGCTTTATTTTCTTGTCAAACTTTTATGAAGTTAAGCGTTTTTAAATACATAATAGAAAATAAGTTGAAATTGTCCTCTTTTAGTGTTTAAAAAAAACTCATGTTAATAGTAAAATGAGGTGCTTTATACTTTTAAGATATGTATAATACTTCTGGAAATCTTATGAGCTAGTTTATTAGTTTAGTAAAGAACAAAAATGGAGCTGAATTCTTTGTTTAAATGCAATAATAATATCAAGTTTTTTATGTTATTTTATTCTACAAAGGCAATTTAAGACATTCATACAATCATGATGTTCCTAGCCAATAGATTTGAGCATTAAATACAATATATCATAAGTCATAACATGTCATTATGTATTAAACTTAATTTGTAACTTGACTCTCATTTATTATTTTACCTTAGTACTTTTTTTATTATCATCATATTTTTTTTCCGCAAATGTAAGTTGTTTTCTGGTACACAAAATCTTTTGAAAAGCTTATATTTTTGAAACTTGTTCAATAATTATTTTACAACTCTTTTTAACAACTTTGATTGGAGTTATAACCTTTTCAATAGTCTATTTTATCTAACTTATCTAAAACAGTATATATAGTTGATAAAGTCAACCATGTTTAGATTTTTTTTGGTATTTATACAGTAGAACATTGAAGTGTGACATAAAAGGGACCACAAAGTATTGTTCAAGTTGTTGAAATTTTTATATGTATAAAGAAAGAATTCAGAATTCATGTCAAAACTGTTGATGTTTTCTTTAGTTTTGGACTTGTATCTTTTTATTTAAAGGTAAACCTTCTTTTAAAACTTTACATAAAAATACACCTGTTTAATTCCATCTAAAAGGCTGTTCCATTAATCCATTTAATGTCCAAGGGAAAGGTAATCTTAGTGGTTTAATCAAAACCTTACTCACTGCATACACAAACTCATTGGTGGTGCTCCTATTTAGGATGTACCTTGGGATCCTTTGGGTATTTTATATGTTTTAATGGTAAACACCATAGCTTCTTCCTTCTTTGTATAATGTAGATAGCATGTTAACTTAGAAAAGGGATCCTATGAATTATCTCCCCTATATTCTGGATAGTTATATCCCTTGAATTTCTGTATAGTTATATTTGTTACTTTGTTTAGTCATTTGTGTGTTTAAACCATAGATATTTTATTAGTTGACATGTAAAACATGTTTTAGATGAAGATTTTACACACCAAATGCATTTGTTACAGTATAATACATGTTAACATGTCAATTCCTAGATGTGTTTCATGCAATATTTAAATAAATTTGTTGTCAACAGTTTCAATTTTTTTTCTGCCAACTACCATGGAGTAATGATCATTCATGAAATAATAAATCCTGTTAATTAATTGATAGAATACAACTGATTAAATACTAATGACCAATTGGTGATTCTAAAATATAAAATAAGGAGATGTGGTATATTTGCCAATGAGAAAATTATTCACCAGAGTTCAAATGACATGGATATATAAGCAATTATAGGTCACGTTATGGACTTCATCAATGAGCAAAACTCATCCTGTATAGTAAGCTATAAAAGGCCCCAAAATGACAAATGTACATGTAAAACAATGCAAACGAGAAAACTAACTGCCTGATTTTTTCTACAAATTAAAAACAAATATGATATACAGCAAAAGACAACACCCACTGCCTTACAGGCTCCCGACTTGGGACAGGCACATACAGAATGCAGTGGGGTTGAACATATTTGCTGGTGCCAAATCCTCCCCCTAACCTGGGACAGTGGTGTAACAATACTCTAAATCATTTATAAAAAATTGCAAAGGGAAATAACACCTGGGTAGGACAAACTAACTCTGCCTATACAAAGCAAGTGGAACCAGATATCTGTAGGTAGACGTTGATCTTAAAGACTGTCAACATAAAATTCAATCACAATCCAAAAAACAGGTGAGACATTTCAGCGTGTGCACTCTTGTTCTTGGATTTTTGGCAGGAAAAGGATGTTCAGGTTTTGGAAAAAATAAATGGAGAATGTGGCCGTAGGATACAGAAGATGCTCCCACTTGCATATAATGGGGCATAACTCGAGAAGAACAGTAAAAGTGATGCCACCCAAATACCAACTTGATTTGTATTTTGTGTATAAATTTTATAACATTTGGTTGAGGAAAACTTAAGTTTGAGAATGTAAACTAATTTTGGGACGTATGTAGAGACGGACAAGGGTAACACTTAATGTGTTGATCTTTTTGAAAAGTGTTGGATGTCTAACAAGAATAAGAAGACCTAGATGCTTCATACCTAGTATACAGATGTCATATTACACAAATTTCTGTCATATGTCCATTATCCTTAACCTCATTTTTGTCGAGCCTTCGACTTTAGTCGAAAAAGCGAGACATAGCGATCCTACATTCCGTCGGCGGCGTCCACAAATATTCACTCTGTGGTTAAAGTTTTTGAAATTTTAATAACTTTCTTAAACTATCCTGGATTTCTACCAAACTTGGACAGAAGCTTGTTTATGATCATAAGATAGTATCCAGAAGTAAATTTTGTAAAAATAAAATTCCATTTTTTCCGTATTTTACTTATAAATGGACTTAGTTTTTCTGCCGAGAAATATTACATTCACTCTGTGGTTAAAGTTTTTAAAATTTTAATAACTTTCTTAAACTATCCTGGGTTTGTACCAAACTTGGACAGAAGCTTGTTTATGATCATAAGATAATATCTAGAAGTAAATTTTGTAAAAAAATAAATCCATTTTTTCCTTATTTTACTTTTAAATGGACTTAGATTTTCTGCCAGGAAACAACACATTCACTCTGTGGTTAAAGTTTTTAAAATTTTAATAACTTTCTTATACTATTTTGGATTTGTACCAAACTTGGACAGAAGCTTGTTTATGATCAAAAGCTAGTATCTAGAAGGAAATGTTTTCTTCCAGTTAACATTACATTCAGTTTGCAGTTAAAGTTATTAAACATTTATTAGATTCATAAACTATCCTGTATTTTTACCAAACTTGGACAGAAGCTTCTTACAATCAAAAGATAGTATCAAGAGGAATATTTTTATTGATTTACTTCCTCATTTTTGTTGAGCCTGCGATTAACAGAAAAAGTAGGCGAGACACTGGGTTCCGCGGAACCCTTAAGAATTTTTATTGTTCAGTGACTGCTTATAAAAATTGTAGTTTTTTGTCATTTGAATTTCTCATGAGCAATAGGATAACTACCAGGTATTTTAGTGTATGGGATCCTTGCAAGGTCTATATTTCTGTCAGAAAGAATTCACCTGACTTTTACTTTATTTTTAAATTGGTTAATGTTAAGGTTTTCATGGTAAAGCCTGTTTCTTGGATACTATATAAGCAATAGGTCTACAATATTAGTTGAATGGAATCCTTCAAAGAGGAACATGACTATTTGGAAGGGGTAATATGATCTGTATTTGTCAATGTTTATATTCATACTTAACTTCTTAAGTATGTTTCTCAGATACTATATAAGCATATAAAGGTCAACTATATTTGGTGTATGGAATGATTGCAAGGTGTACATGTCTGTCAGGTAGGGTACATCTGATATTGACCTCATTTTCATGGTTCATTGGTCAATGCTAAAGTCTGTTTCTCAGATACTATCCCAATAGATCAACAAAATTTGGTAACTGGAATGATTGTAAATATACATGTCTGGCTTGCAGGGTTCATCTGACCTTGACCTCATTTACACTGATCATTGATAATGTTTAAGTTTTTATGATATTTCTATTAAACCTTGATTTTACGAGACTTGCAACATAAATTCAATCATGACCAGTAAAGCATACCTCTGATAATGTGCACACTTGTTAAACTAGATATTGTTTTATTTAAATTTAATTAAAACAAATACAAATAATAGTTTATTTACATGAATAAAGTATATTACAAATCTTTAAACTTCATATAATCTTTTCTCTTATTCACAGGCAGTCCTTATTTATTAGCACTCAAATCTTGTTATTCTCTTCACTTCTTTGTTAAAGAGCAGTTTTTCATTTTTATAAATTTTGAAATGTTTTAAATTTCATAACAGTCTGATTGCTAATATGCTCCACAGAGGCAGTTTTACCAAAAGTGTCAAAATTTCACAGATTTCAAAGAATGCCTTTGTTTTTCCCTAATGCAAGAACATTATGAAAAGTATAATAATTCAACAGATTTCTGTATACAAAGTTATGCTTCGGTTAAATCATCATTGAAATACAAATGGATTGCTTGTAAGAATGTATCATCATTCATGCTCAGTTTATAAAATTCCTCATCTTCATCTTCAATACCATTTTCTTCTAACGTACTCCCCATCACAAGATTTCGACTGTCATATTTCCATGTATAACTTGCAGCATGTGCATTGTATTTCAGGTACCGTTCTAAAATTTCTGTCATTATCTCTTCTGAACAAACCTGAAAAAAAATATTAATGTAATATCATGAAGAAAAAAAAGAGACTGAAGATGCCACAAATTATTTATAACTGGAAAGTGGAGGAGAAACTGACAACGCCATGTCAATAAACAAATGGCAAATTGATAAAAAATTTCTCAAAACACTTCATAGAAAACTGAATGCCGACAAAAACAGGGGTGATCTCTTGTTCTCCAGAAGGGTAAATTGAAGAAAATCAGATCAAGACAAAACACTACAAAGAAAATAAGAAAATTAAGTTGCACAAACCATATAAAAAATACAGATAAACTCAGGTGCACCAGAAAGTTTTGCAGTTAAAATACTTCTCCACTAATGACACAAATCATGTTACTCCTATTTTGATCAGTTGATAAGTCAAAAGCATGAGTACCTAAAATACAATACATTGTTTTTTACCTCCTTTTTTCTGTAATAGAAATAAAAATTTGAAATTAACAATGATATTTACCTCAATAACATGGTCCTGTGACGTAAGAGTGTTGATTATTTTAACTTTTCTAGTTTTCTGTGACAGAATTCCTACTAGATAACTGTCATCTTTCCACCAAGGTCTTCCAAAGTCATTGGCCCAATTAGAATCTGGATAAGGTGGTGGTATATGAACAAATCTGCCATTAGGACAGTAAGGTATTTCACAACCAGTCTGTGGATCAACATGTGTACGTATCTGAAATAATCATACATTGGTTAATTTTCTCAATTGAATTGTTCACATTGAATTGATTCACATTTTTCATGTCAGTGCCTTTTATAGCTGACTATACGATATGGGTTTTTCTCATTGTGGAAGGCCTTACTGTGGGCTATAATTGTAACTATCACTTCATTTTAACTCTGATTGATAATTGTCTCATTGGAATTCATACTACAACTCATTTTTATATACATTGGTTTCAATGAAATATCAAATTTTTGAAAACCGATATTTCACATTTAAAAAAAATTATGCAATATTGTCACTCAACATTTATAGGGGTTGTCAAGATGTGGTCAGTGATGTTGCATCAAAACAAATGTGTAGTAAAAAATATAATTCCTCGCATTTTATACTTTATTTACATTCAAAGTCAATATAATCAAAAGAATAAATAATCCAAGAATTGAAAAATTGCAAGTATTCAATACAATTAACAGAACAATAGTGATATTAGTGTACAAACAAAGAAACTTACATCTTTTGTCTTAGGATTAAACCAATGTGATATATCCCCACCAGCAGCTTGAATAATGGGCTTCAGTAAAACATCTCCTGTTAAAAAATAAAATGTAAGATTTAGACCAGTTTAAGAAAGAGAGGTTTAATACAGATCATGGTGATCTTTACAGCAGATTCCATTGAGTGTGTAGCCAAAGGTAATATCTTTGGTTAGCTTGCTTGTTAGCTGAACCGTGAAGTCATTATTAGGTCAAGTATACTACCCTCCTTTCGAAGTAGCATAGTCCAACAGACAGATCGATTGGTTTTCTGTCGGACTAGTCTATTCTTAAAGTAGGGTAGTTTACCTAACCTAACAATGACTTCACGGTTCAGCTAACAAGCAAGCTAACCAAAGATATTACCTTTGGCTACACACTCAATGGAATCTGCTGTAAAAGTTAAAAATATCATATGGTACTAGCTGCATTAAATTTCTGTAAAAGAAAAACTATCAACTGTCTGTTACTACTTTAAATAGACAAACAAATACAAGTTACATATGTACAATTATAGATACTATAATTCTTATCTTAAGCAGTAGTACATTTTAACTTAAGTTTAAAAGGAGGACAATTAGCTAGCAGATGTCTTTTACAATCATCATCATCCTGAATATGTATGAAATATTTGCTACTGGATGTATAGCAAACAGCAACCAATCATTCTTTTTAACTCTGGGACAAAGTTATGAATTGATACAAATTATACTGATGTCATATGCCAACAGATTTCAGTTAGAATTGATTTTGAATGATTGAAAAACTAAAGATGACCTCCTCAGTCCTGTGTTCCTAAGTTTAATCCCCCCTTATTTCGGATGGGGTTCAAGATGCCAAATTTTTTGTTTTCTGTGTTGTATTTTGCCAGTTTTGTTTTTTGTTTTCTATTGTTCCTGATTCTGCAGCAATAGTGAGATATATTTACAATGTATACATCCAGTCATAAAACTCACATTTAACCACAAAAACATACATGTACATACCAGTTGGTCATCATATAAATATGTAATCTTAATCCTGTCACGAGTTTAGCATACACTGGGTTATGTTATTGTATCTAGTCATCATATATTGCATGATGGGGTTAAATTTACATTTATTACTTATGAGTTTGAATGTCTCTTTGGTATATTTTGCCTCTCTTTTACATATCAAAATTGCAATTGTAATTGTAATTTATGCAGGTTGACATTTGCAAAGCAGTATTTATGTTATGGATTTCCACTACAGATCAATAGTATAGATGTAGAAAAAACTAAATCGTTCCTATTTTTGACCAAATCATATTAATTTATAAACTTGGGGTTAAACAACGCAGTGCCAAAAGGAATCAATATGACCCTGATTTTGAAGAGTACCATTCTTACAAATACATTATTGATACAACCCAGATTTATACGGTTACAACTTACATTATTGAAATGGTAACAAGACATTTCGGCACCCAGACAAATCGGCACCCAAGTCCGAAGACATTTCGGCATCCATTTTGGACAGTTCGGGAGCCGGACATTTCGGGACCAAGACAATTCGGCACCTCATTTTTTTTAAATATATATATTAGGAAAAATAAAAGAATTGTTACCGTAATATTATAATCCGTTGATAAAATATACAATAACAAAATTTGAAATCATCATTTAATTAAATCCTAAATGATTGTGTATGAATAGTAAAACATCATTTAATTAAATCATAATTGATTGTTAGATATGACGGTGTTTGAATAAACATCATTTAATTAAAATAAAATCATAATTAATTGTAGTTATGCATTAATCAGTATTTTATGTATAAATCTGATAATTTCTCAATAGAGACAAATGAGAAATCAAAAGTGTATAGCTTGTGTTTCAGCTTGTGTTCTCGTTTGATTCTTACATCTGTAAAGACAACACAATACCTGAAAACTATATTTTATTGTTTTAATATTAAAACCCATAAACATAAAAGCGCGTGCAAGCCATAATGAGTAAAAACCCAGAAACATATGTAACACTCCCAAACGTGTCCGATTCCCCCAAACGTGTCTATTCTCCCCAAACGTGTCCGTAATATTCAATATGGCCCAAACGTGTCCGATTTCAAAACCCCCAAACGTGTCCGATAATTGTTATTCGCCAAAACGTGTCCACTGTTAAACGCCATAACGTCTCACGTCTTTTAGCGCCAATACATGTATGTCCTAAATAAAATCAATAACGTTTACGGCAATTCTATGATGGGGAAACAGTTGATGAGGTAGTAATTTATAAGCATTAGTTTGTTCAATGCCGGTTGTTAATGATTATCATAATTGCAAATTTAATATGTAACATATGAATTAACTTTTGACTGAATTTGCTTATTGTCCAGTTGCAAGTATTTCATGCTCATTAAGAGCGAACATACATATAATTCTAGTGCAGTATAATTAATCGTTTACTCTGTAAATTATGAGTTGCTAATAAACTCCGATGATGCCTTTTATATTAATCCGAAGGCAGGCTTTCAGCAGAATTGACTTCCCTTTTTTTCAACAGTTCTGATATTTTAAAAGCTCTTCAAATCAAAAACTGGTTTTCCGGGTTTCTAATAAATTTTAGGTTTCGAGCATCACTAAAGACACACGAACAAGAGAAATAACATCCAGTGCCAAATATTTCATGCATTATTTGAACGAAATCATGTTAACAATAAATACTGTATATAGGTTCTATTATCATACCGGGAATTTAGGATTGGGCCTAAATTGTTGCAGTTATTCGGGATTAACACTAGTTGGGATTGTAATCTAAAAAAATAAGAGCGTGTGAAGACCGATTTTTTTTATGACTTCAGTTCGAAACTACTGCAATCTCCGTTATGTAATAGAGGCCGTTTTAAATAAAAGTTGCGGAAATTTAAAAAAATGTTGCCTTCCATAATACAACTGATGGCACCATGAAAGAGTGAATTGCTACATTCTCCCTACACGAGGTATCTGATTTAATATCTACAATTAACTGAGCATGGCTGCTAATACATTTACATTGTTGAAGGCTTGCCTATAATTGCTTACATCCACTTTATTTGAACTTTGGTGGATAGTTGCCTCATTGGCAATCATACCTCATCTCCTTATTTTTATAAGGATAAAAATGATAAGCATGTTAAGATTTATCTGCCACGTAATTTTTCAAACCAATTGGACAACCCTATTTGCAGTTATTGCATCTGGAATTATAAATTTTACGAAATATCTCTGTTTTTTTTTTTTTTTTTTTTTTTTTTTTTTATTATTATCTTAAATGCTGATAAAGAGAAATTTTGAACAGCAAGTTGAGATCTACAACTAAGTTAACTAAGTTATCTACAACTAAGTTAACTAAGTTAACTGACTGAAATTGTAAATTTATCCCTTATAGGAGTTATTGGCTTGAAAGGCATTTTTTTTTAAATTAAATTTTCAAGTTATTTTTAAGAAAGTATAATAGATGAAGGGAAACTTGAAGTGACAAAAATGTTCAACAAAATTAGATCTAAGAATAAGTTGACAAGACAGCTATCCAAATGACCAAGCTGCAATACAGTCTTCACAAATAAAAAAAAACAAAAAGAAAAAGATACTTCTTCAAAGATACCATATACAATATTGACAATAATGTCATAAATAGTGCAGGAATTAAATTGGTAATTTGTAAAAACAGTCAAACATAATCGCTATATTAACACTAAACTTGTAAATTGAGTTCATACCCACATACATATATCAGTGCCAGGTAACTTTAATGTTTGGTTCACTATATTTTGATCAAGGATAAAATAATTGATTTTATCTTTATAAGGTGCCGATTTGTCTATGTTAGATGCCGATTTGTCTAGATGCGGATTTGTCTGGGTGCCGAAGTGTCTTACTCGGGTGCCGATTTGTCCGGATGCCGATTTGTCTGGGTACCGAACTGTCTAGAATTCTATTGAAATACATCTAGCAATCGACAGTGAGAATGATCTGTTGATAACTATATCTAAAATCCAAACAAACTTTGGTTGTGGTGAGAAATAAGATTTTTCATTTTCCTTTGGTGTGTAAAAAGCTCTTGATTCAATTTTTTTATTTGTGTTATTATCATTTTTTTACTCTGGAACTGGTTTATTTCAATACCTTTGTATTTTTCGCAAAGTGGAGTAAGATTGTACACTTTTCCAAGGAACGATACCCATAAATCGTCTACAGTATTATGAACGGCAACTTCTTTTGGTGTAAAATACTTTGGCCGTCCCATTTTCCCTCAAAATTGATTCAGGAACTGGGTTGCTAACGTCAACAAGTAAACCGGAAGTTAATTTGATGGCGTTTATGAAACGAAAGAACTAATTTATGTAAAAGATTTCTCTACACTGAATTATTTGTAACTATACAACCGTGTTAAATGAAATATTATAAATACTCATCATAATTTGCAAATTTTTAAGAAACTGAGGTCATATTTTTACAAAGAAATAATTTTTCGTTTTGTATAAATCAATATTTCCCAAAATGGCCGGCGAAGTGCAGGTGAATTTCGTCCAAATATATATTTAATCGAATTACGCCACATTTTACAAATTTACCCATGAAAAATTATTAGATTGCACGGAGAAAGTCTACTTCTATTAATACTTTTTTCATTTGTATGATTTATACCACAAATCTGTTTAAAATAAAAGTATTGTCAAGTTCTATGTTTACAAGCAGAGATAAATTCTGCAGAATATAACAAACCCTGGTTCTTAGCATTTTCGAGATTGACAAGAAAGTTCTAAAGAACATGTATAGATTATGTAACGTAACATCACCCTCAGTTCAGTTGTGTTCCTGTAATGGTTACAACTCAGTCCCATTTAACAGAATGTACTGGCAACCCTGATTGATTTACACTAGGCAGGGGTTGTCCTAATTCTGTTGCATGGATGCAAGTAGTTTGTAAAATTAACAAGAAAGAAAGATTACAATATTAAGTTAAAACCTGAAAACACTGCATCAATCCTTGGTAGACTTACATTGTATATCCACCATTTCCACGTTACAATTACATTTTTTGTACCTGCCAACTTTTCAAAATCTCAATGGGGGACAGGGGTGGATTCAGGTGGGGCGTGCCCCCCTAAAATTTGCAAAGCATGAGTTGTCCTCAGCTTCATAAAGAATATTTCAATAATTTTACCTCAAATAAAATTTAGCTGAGCAGAGCGAGGCAAAAATTTAAGTTTGCACCGCCACTGGGGGATTTGAAGCGCAAGAGGACCTTATGCTCCTTTTATATTGAAATAAGTGTTTTTAATCTACTACTATATTATTTGAATGAGTATGCATGTGCTTGAATACCTTTTTAACACATTTGGATGCCTGTTCTGAGGTATTTAGTCATGTTAGTTAATACATGTAATATAATAAAGAATAATAAAATTCAGGTCAACACTTCTCAGAGGGAAACCCCCCATAAAGCGTAAAAGTTGGCAGGTTTGACTTTAAATGCATTACAATGAAGCATGACATCTTTTTTCTGTCCATGCTGCTATTTCATGTGGACTTGTCTCAGTTTGGAGTTATCCTTATTTGGATTGATTACCATGTTAGGAACAATGACCTAAATCTGTAAACAAACCATAGAAAAAATATGGACATCAACCAAAGAAATTTAGCATTGTCATGATTGTAGAGAGTTAAATCGAGAGAAACATGGGCAAGAAATAGTGTTGAAAAAAGAGAGGAGTTGATCTCTTTTTCTTCTTACTCAAACTCTATCCATCTTTTCGATAACTTCCCTGAATAACTGTTAGTAGTAAACCTTGTAGTAGAAGTTTTTCTTATTTTGAACTTGGGTCCATATGGATGCCTAATACAAGGAGACATTCACTCCTTGCCTATTTAACATGTTTAATGCATATGATCAATCAGGATGAGAATATTTAAGTTAATTCAATGACATACAATGGTTATGTCAGTGTTTTTTTTTTTATTAGGATCACATCAAAATTCAATGAAGAGTCACTTTTAGATTAAACAAAATAATTGTTTGGGTGAAGTTCAAGATTGATCTTACATTTGTAAAAGTGACTTTAAACATGTTAAAGAAGCTAATGTGACTATGTTCATGATGTTGATCGATTTTGCAAGTTTAAAAGCTTAATACAATTTACAAAGATATGAGACAATATATTCAAAAGTATTAATACTGTCAAGCTAATGTTTTATGAAGGATGTACATGTAATTTGGTAGATTTATAAAACTTTTCGATTTTCCAGTAGTGGCAAAATAAAGGAAGCCTTATAAAAAATTCTCCTTTATCTTAACTTCAATGTTGGAGAAATTCATTTGTTTTTGCTGTGGAATTTGTTTCATGGACATAAACTGCAATTTTCCATTTAATTTAGGAATTCAGTTTTGCTCCATGGCAAGTATTGCAAAAAAAATGTAACCATGTTGGGAGAGTAGTGGACACAGTGTTACCATTTATATTGTATCTACAATCTACATGATCTATATGCATGTTGCTCAATTGAGCTATGACAATTATCTCCCTTTGATATTTTTAAAAGGAAATATAATTTTCTGCATTAATTAAGTGACTTAGTCTTGCATGCAGAAAGTAACTTAAGTCAATACTAAATATGTGACATTACTTTTTAATTTTTCAGCAGGAAAATGCAAAAGAAGAAGATAGTGAGAAGTCTGCTGGAAAGATAAAGTTAGAGAAATGGTTGAACAAAAGTATGAAGATCAAGATGACAGATGGAAGAACTTTAATTGGTAATTTTAATGTAAAACCTGTCCTATTTTTACTCTTTTCAAAAGTTACATCCTTTTTATAGTATTCAAAAAGTTGCTCCCTTGGCAAAAACACGTGGTGATAATTTTATTAGTTTTTATTTAGGTATATGTTAACAATAGATTTCTTTGAGTATACAAAATATGTTGAAATTGATATTCAACTTTAAACTTTAATGGTAATAAGGTTTTGGGACAGTGAATGAATTTTAGAGAAAGACATTTTGCGGTAGTGTAAATTACATGTTACTTTGAATGAATTTTAGAGAAAGACATTTTGAGATAGTGTAAATTACATGTACATGTTACTTTGAATGATTTTTAGAGAAAAACATTTTGCAGTACTGTAAATTACATGTTACTTTAAATGAATTTTAGAGAAAGACATTTTGCAGTGGTGTAAATTACATGTTACTTTGTGAAAATAATGAGCAAAGAGTTTTTTTGTTTTTTTTTCAAATATATAAATACAGTACACATATTGTTTGCATAAATATATTAAAGTTTTATTTATAATTTACCGAAGCATGTTTTTAAAGGAATTTTTGTTTTTGTTTTAGGAGTATTTTTATGTACAGATAAAGACAGAAATGTTATATTAGGCTCATGTGAAGAGTATTTGAGGTCTCCAGGTGGGTAGAAACCAAGGCTTCCAAAACGGTCATATATTCCGGACATTTGTATAATGTCCGATAAAAGTCCGGCTGGGCAAAGCATGAAACGGTCATCTTCTTTTTAGATTTCAAGGCTTTCTTAAGAGACGGTCATTTTAACATAATTTGCGATCTTTTTGACCCAACCTTTTGCCTTTAACAGCCACACATTTCCAGTCATAAAAGTGACATGATCATTAAGTACTATCAAAACAACCCCTACTTTAATACCTTCTCATTTTAATCAAGGCTAATTAGTTGTCGAACAGCTGAAATTTACCTGTTCAGGTGACAGGTAAACTATTTTGAAACGGACATTGATCGGTCTATTCAAAGTTATTTTCTTACATTTCACCGGTTTGCATCTAATTAATTTAGTCAAAAAGATTTAAATTATCAGAAATACATTTACAAATAAGATTTGATGAAAAAATTAAAGAGGTGAAAATGAAAAATCGTCATAACCACGTTGTTTGAACCAGAGACATGTCTCTGTTTGAACTAGTACACGTGTGCGCATGTGCATGTGCGCAGGTGTGAAATTTAATTATGCATCCTAATTTCTTTAGTAAATGCTTAAATTGTCATTGATACCTTTATCTCACGTTTATTTCGAATATTTTCTTGAAGAAATAACGTAGAATGAGCTACTTACACTCATTCATGCTTTGCAAACGTACACGGAATTTACGTATCCGTCTCTGGTCCATGTTTTACCATTGTCAAGATAACATCTGGTTTCAGATTTAAAAACGAAAGTAAAATTTTTGACAACGTTATTTTGCACAAATAAAGAGTCTAAGGCAGATATAAGTACGCTGATGTTGCACACTTCGGATGATGCACTGCCAATTTAACAGTTTACGTCAGAACTTCGAATTTGAATCAAAGAAAGTTTAATATCGTTTTTTTTAAATATCAATCATTGGGAGGGCCAACTCGGCAACTGATTACCATAATTGCCTTTTGTTTATTTAGTCTTAAGGGATTAAAATCGGGATAATATATAAAATGTCCGGCTGGCTAAAAATAATTTTGGAAGCCCTGGTAGAAACCAAAAACATTTTAGTTCTTTTTATTCAACTGGTAATTTATGTTAAAGGGGTATTTGTAAGGCAAAACAAATTTTGTTATCTTTCCTGCCTCCCTATAGCTACTTATCCAAAATTTTCATGCCTACCTCAACATATTTTATGGGAATTTTATTTTTTAGCACTGGTAAAGTCCAGAACATTCCCTAAATATATATATATATGATGTGAACTTTGTAAACATAAAAAGAGTTATCACCATGCAGAGCAGGCAATATCCTCTTTCACAGTTAACACCATCAAGAGTGGATTAGCAAGAATATTTCTTCTACAGGTTTTATATTCTACATTGATCTGAGAATATAAAACTCTTATTATAGAAACTTGGAATCACCTGACCTATTTCCATTCATCCATTCTTCTGTCAAACATTTTAATTTCAAGTTTCTATTTGAAAGAATAATTTTTAGACATGGATTGAAAAAAATGAAAACAACTTTGGAGGTCATTTGGAATCAGCTGTAATATCTTCATTGTTTTGCAGATGTAGATGACAGAGAAGATCCGAGAATATTAGGACTAGCTATGATCCCAGGACATCAGATAGTCACTGTACATATTGACGAAAATGATAATAATGATCAGGGAATTTTGTGATGAAAACAAATAGTCATATATAATATTTTTCTTAATTGAGATTCTTGACACTTTAAATATGACATGGTTTGGAAATCAAGCCTTCCTGCAAAGAGAAGAGGCAGAAGAAAGCTATTGGATTTTTCTTGTTGATATGGAATCATCACAAGACGATGCTTATTTCTTTATACTGTGTTGGACTTCAAAGATGTGTTGCCCA